ACGTAGGCTCTGCTGCAGTTCGCATCTAATAGTCCGTCTAATCACATTGTGCACAGAGCCAGCTGGGAGGTTTCTTCTGGATTCCAACAGGTCCACCAACCTCTAGGATATCCAGTGACTGGTGCGGTGACGATGGATAGTGCCACAAGCAGATGCTCCTGCGTCGTGCATAACAGCCGAGATCCTATTCCACTGAAGCTCAGTGTCATTAGGACAAGACAGCGAAAGTTCGGTACGCAACGCGTCTTGACAGGCTTGAATAACGGAGGGCCGAGATAGCATCACAGTTGTCAATCAGGGGAGACTCTTAGTGTGTGTCCCGGTAAAGTTCATGGAGAAACGACAGCGCACCAAGGCATGATCAGAATCGACGCAGGTACTCCAGTACGAGCGACAATATAGGATGGAACCACGCCACCTGTAACTTACGGCGATGTGGTCAATTTTGGTCCATCGTAGGCCAGCTACAGGAGGACGCCAAGTGGCACTTCGGTGCCCACTGTGCTTAAAAGCAGTGCTATTAAGAAACAACTGGTGCTCCGCACACAGTTGCAGCAGACGTTCGCCGTTGTCGGTCGATTCGGAGTCAACCCCATAATTACCACCCAGCTGAGCTATTGAAGAGCTCAGACGCTATACTTGTACGTTCATATCCACTGCAAGTACTATAATATCTGAAATAGTAGCACTGCTTGGTAGCGTGGTCAGTTCGTGATAGAGTGTGTTCTTGACAGCATTTGAACTGCAGTCGGTGGAAGCGTAAGCGGAAATCACAGACAAACAGCGTTCTGTACTACTTCGTGAATCAAGCTCAGTTGATGCCATCAAACGGTCCGCACATAAACGGATGTCCACCGGAATCTAATCAACCAACGATGGCTCAGCCTTGAGGCTTAGAATGATGCCCACCCCAGCTTGACCCGTGAGCGTTGCATCGACGTCTCTTGGTGCGTGAAACCAATAGCGAGAGGATAAGCTGGGCACAGGTAATTCAACAACCCAATTATGGTCATTAATTCCAGTTTCAGACACACAACACACATCAATACCCAGTGTGTCCAAGGTGCGTGGAAGGGTAGCATTTTGACCTATCTGTGGGATCTGCACTGCCCTCGGAGCTGAATGATTATTTTGCAGACGTTTCGCTGCCAGACTGGGCAACATCATCAGTGCGGCTATAGGGTCCTGTTCCGCAGAGTCTCGTAAGCGACTTCGAGATCTAAGTGCTTATTAATCGAGTTCTGCTTTGAATACCAGGCTTCAATAAACTTACGTGCTTGTATGCTTGCGGTTCTTCCGAGGAATTTGACATGCTCCAAGTCGAACTGGTGGCCTTTCGGCATCCATATGCTCGGACATCAAAGAGTTCGTATCATGACGGTGGATGGCTAGGTCATGTTTATGTAGCCGTGTGCCAAGCTTTCTTCCTGTTTGTCCTGTTAGTATTTGTCACAGTCACGGTAGCATGCTTTGTAGATTACACCAGATGTTTCCTACTTACTAAGTTTAGCTTTCACTTTAAAGAGTTTATTTCGTATTGTTTTTGTTGGCTGGTGGGCAACTCTGATTCCTAAAGGCAACAAAAGTCCCACTGTCATTCCCGAGATTCCGTTGATGTAAAGCAACACGGTTCGTTTTTCATCAGTTGCATTCCTTGAGGTGCGTTGTGTTACTAAATGTGGGGCAAAGAAACGCAGAAGGAAGCTTTTCAGGTACGAATTCCGTTTGAACAGGCTGAAGAGATATTCTTCCTCCGCCTGCCTCAGCTGCCGTTTGCTACGTGTCCGTGAAGGTTTGAAAACAGTTAGCCTGCAGCTGCGCTTGCGGACTGCAGGATGATTGCTGCTGTAGTTGAGGATTTGGTCTGTATGGGTTGATTTTGACCTAAGTGTCAGAGTGCGAACCTTGAACGCTTTCCGAGAAACCGGACAGCGTGGCCTTATAAGGGACAGTTGGTGATAGGCGTCAAGTATTATTGGCTTCTCGTGAGTGTAGATAAGCACCTTATTTTGACGGCCCGTTGCACTTTCCCTGCTATGCATATGGTAGACGAAAGAAGACTGCATTTCGTTAACGTGTACTTCGAAGTGTCCATGGGTGATCTCTGCCTTTGCAAACAGTCCTCATCGAAAACATCCCCCAACATGTGGATTCACCTGTCGAGCATGTAGTATACGTGTCAACGTGTTGGGTGGCACCTGGGACAGTAGTCGGTAATCAATGACACATAACAGCTGTGTCAAATACGGGACAGTATAGAAGTTGGAGGCGACTGAACCCAACGTGTATTGTGCAGGCTACAAAAATAGGAAGCGAGTCAACCAGAGCGAGAAACGGTGCAGCAAGATACTCACCAAAATAATTTGTGTCAACCGAAGTGTCGTCAGCAAAACAAGTGGAAATTTTGAAGGTTAAAACAACGGTAAAATTCAATGTTGCAAAATACCGAAAGAACGTGCTTTCCGGTACACTACAAGGGCCTCCCCCTAGAAGGCTGAAGGATGGAAGCCTTCGATGGAGCTGTTAGTGTGGGAAAACAGGAGGTGAGGATGGGTGCGAATAGTTGTCTACAAGTAGTTGAAAGAGGAAAATGTAGGGCACGATCAAGTTTGAAGCTTGAACCTGGTGTACGGTGATTTGACACTGGGCAGTGCAAAAACGTAAACGGGCTTGACGGGTGACGCACGAAGAGCCGGTCAATTATGGAACACAGCTGCGATGTCATTGGCTGGCAAATTTGCATGGGCGTCTTCTGAGTGAAGGAGACCGTGTCCTAGTGCGAACGAACGGCCAACTGTGGCACATCGGTCATACGGAACGTGTGCACAGTGGTAGAGGCCAGGACGCGGAGGATGAATGGATCATTGGTTTTATTATTGGGAGGTATGGTAACAAAAAATATAACGGTCTTTTCTCATGGAATATACGCTGTCGACTGAGGGTTGTCTTTTAGTTTACGCGGTTGGGTTGGACGCCGGACAGAGCAGACGTGTGGGCAACGGTAACGCAGGCGATGCAGTACAACATGTACGTCCATCCTGCGACTGGATTCGGCACTTCAGGGGTAACGACGCGTCAGCCTGATCAGCAACGCTCACACAGCAGTAGGATTCGATTAGAAAGAGTTATCGAACGTTGCCACTCGGCAGAAGCAAACCACATAATGGATTCATTCCTGATCATTTCCAGCAGAAGAAAGACGGATGTGGGAGGAATGATGGATTACAACGATGGCTTCCCAGAAGCTGTATTAAGGAGTTTATGATGGCTGATGTGACATTCATGACGCTTCTTCACCGCAGTTGTGCGAAAAGAACGTACACTTAAATTAGGTTCTTTTAAGCAGGATAAATTTCATTCCACCTTAATTGGTTGGTGCTGCCTGTCTGAATAATCCTCTACTAACTTGCAAACGTTGTTTACGCTAATGGTGGTTATCTTCGTTAACGTTATCGCGTTTGTGGCATTTTTTGAATAACTTGTGGACATTTTTACTTATCGTGCATTCGTTGCCAACCAACTTATTTCATATGCTAATGTAGCGAAGAGATATATTTTATTTGATGACGTTATTTCAAGTGATTAGCTATTGTTTGACATCGCCGGTGTGGCCGCGCCTGATGTGCATAATGACAAGGTGCCTAGCTGTCGTTTACCCACTACCTAGTTCATACTGGCTCCAGGAGACAGTTGGTCGTTGTTGGAGGGGACGGGGTGCACGGTCCTTGTGGCCATGCTAGGCTCGAAGAAGGGTTCCATGCACTCAGTGTGCAGCGGACTACGGTCCAGAAACCGCCATGTATGCGCTTAATTTCCGTAATACAGTGTGCTTTTGTTTGCCTGTGTAGGAGTGTGGGCCCGCTCCGCTGATGAAATGTGGTTCCCATCCGCATGTCTCCAGCTCTTATTCCTTCGAGCTTACACTGGATATGGGGTGTGTGGTTGGAGCTGTGGGTGGTGCAGCGCAAACCACACATGGTCCCTCTATAGGCGCAGGCCTCCTGCGGCTGGCCACAGTGACAGGTAAATCCGAAACCGGATGCCGCCAACCATGATGGAGCAGACTTCTTTTCATCACCGAACGGTAGCAGTATATAGCGGTGCTATCAACCGAGCCAAAGACGGTCCACAATTCAATAAATCCTTGCAAAGTCGTCTGTAATTATGGCGTTCGGGCAAATGAATAAGCGCTAAGATATAATCAAAGCATCATCCTCCAAAGTGGATGACAATCCAACCCTCATTCATTTCAGTTTTTCAGAGTACAAATAAGTCACACCATTATGGTATGCGTGGGCAGTTTTAAAACAATATGCACTAAGCTACTTACTCTGTGACTATCACAAAAAGTACTTTGGCTCTTTTAAAGCGAGAAACGACAAATGAAAATCGTTATCTGAAATAGCATCATTTGCACTAGTGTCGAAAGTATAGCCATGTCAGTGAGTCACAAACATCTTTCACGAGTAACGGAAATGTGCAGTCGAAACAAGCGTCTCGCTGGTAACCGATGTCACCTTCGGTGATGAGCGCGCAGTCAACGTTCCAAGCGGACTAAGATCCATTAAATAACATTTCCGACATGCACTAAGGCGGAAATACTTTACTCAACTTTCAGTCCAATGAGACAGAGTGAATTGCTTGACCATTTTCTTAGTTGCGTCTCTGTCATCCGATCGCCTTACGGCACATTTATTTGGACGAGATGTTCTGCGTATGTACTCACGTCATCTGCAACATCTCATGTCAAGGTTTATAGTGATGTGTCATTTCAGGGCACTGTGGACTCTTCGAAACATACTTCTAGACAGAACAAACATATGTGCGTCCATGGAGCTGCGTCATACTTGTAAAATCCAGCAGGTAAGCAGATGACCAGAAATGGGTGACAACAATCGACTGTAGTGAGAGGACCGTAACTTAAGATGATAAGGGATAATTCAAATTACACGAAAAAAATCGTTTCCGCAGCGCTTTTCACTTGTATACACAGAAACACGCAATTGTGCGAACAATTTTATATAACAGTAACACCGGTAACAAAAAGCAAACAAGGACCGTATTCAATGCTGTAAGGTACATAGTTGCGCAATCAGCTGGAAGTCGTCCATTATCTGATTGAAGATGTCTAATGGTACATTGAGGAGCCGATTCTGAGGATACAAAGAAAGAGAGCGCAATGAATTTGCTCACAAAAGTAAGCGGAGATAAAGTTCACTAAAATGTGCAAGATAGCTTCGTCATCATTTACATTATCAACAAAATAGAATATGTGAGCCGTGTCTAAAATGTGGCACCCATACCGAAAGAACCATATTGTCGATACAACGTATCACTTCAAAACTAATCCCTGAAAAACGCTACAAGCTCGTGGTGTTTTAACGCACGATGCTGCGAGAAATGAAAATAGGATACATTTACGATAATGGAACGTTGACTGTGTAACAAGTATGTGTTCTGCTAAATTAAAAATGAAGCACTGTTCGTTGAGAGGAAGTGGGCTTCGGGAGTGAAATTTGATATCCTGTGAGGGACATCTAAATCAGTTTTACAAGTCATACAAATCGACCGCTGGAGAATCGAAGGGGTTACATAGACGATACTTCGAACAAAGAACCTAGTGGAATGGAGATACGGGATGGCGGAAATTGCGGACAGTTAGAGGATCAGACTAGGTAAGACATGCGAATTTTCAGCTCATCCATTCGAACCAATGCAATCGATGTTAGTGAAGCTGCCGGATTCAGTTGTAAAGATACTTGAAAGAAACTTTACATGAATCACAGCCTTAGATAATTCGCACAAAACTTTAACGGAAATGCAACTTAAGAAATGTGGCAATCTTCCTGTCCTAGGCTTGCCGAGCATTGGAATTAAAGTGCAAAGCTGCTCTGTAGATAACACCACATCGCAGCTTCAACCGCTGAAGTAGAAGTGGGCGCATGCATCATAGACAATATCGTACAAACAGCATTTGAAACTGAAGAACAAGTAAAAAAGAGTTACAACACTAGGCAACAGCAAAGGATCACGTTTGGGGTAATGTTGTCTCAGCCAATGTATACAAAACGACAACAATGGATTGATAGATATAAGATAATTACCTCGCTGATCGCATGATTTAGAAGTAGCGTCAATAGGCCATCTGTACTGTGGATGTTTAAAGTGAAACGCATCTCCATAAGCGCTATACACGGATAATACACCATAAACAGGCACGGAAACGTCATGATGACATACGTGGGACTTCCGCTCCCACAAGGCCAGATATGGTTTCAGACACGCACCTGATAAATTGAGACACCAATCCCCGTTTGTCACTCATATGAGCTGTTTATACTTTATGCGAGGTATATGATGTGTGTACGTGCAAATATCATGAGCCGTCCGTCGGCCATACGACATGTGCAAAATGTGAACTCGTATGTTGGTTTTATCATAGAGCGTAGTTCCACAGACAGATGACAGTTATGTTGACGCAAGTCAAGCGATCAGTCTCACAGTAACACGGATAAGCAATCATTAGTGCAAACAGCAAGGAAAGTTCCCGAAATGCAAGCGCATAATGTATGCGCTCCCCACAGATCAAAAGATGTACCCACCGGCACCCTGGGTAAATTATTTGAAATGCATATTGAATGTTATCTCCTTCCGCAGGTGGTGAGGTACTTTGTCAATTAGCACCATATACTAGAATTGGTTTCAGCTGCCGACCGAGTTGGGGGTTAGAGTATCGTCGGTTCCGCGACGAACACACCGAAAATGTCTAATGAGACGCGATCTCGTGTGTATATATGCTAAGTGCACAAGAGATTCTAACAACGCAACGAATAAAACTGAAAAACGCTGGGAGAGAAAATTAGAGGCATTCTGGTAGTTACATTACATTCAGCGTATCATAGACTAACGTGGTAACACTGACGTCAGTGAACACGTTTTCGGCGTAAAGCCGGTATAATAAATAATGGCTTCTCCGATGATATCCTACAACTCAAAATACTACACCACAGTATATAAGGTCACAATAAGGTTCATTTGCTATTATTATGCGATCGCGATAACAATGTCGCTTGAGAAACCCTTCATTGAGTAAGTACTGATGGAACGCTGAATATACCACTCCCAGAGTTAGCTTACATACTCGTGGGCCGCATAGCTATGCTCATTTGGTCAGTCTGAGTACGCCGCTTAACACAACATGTGTCTACTTCTTGAAATCTCTATTAATGCCATTGCTGTTGGACGTGACAGTAAATTGATAGTATATACTTCAAATTAAATTCTCCAATAACCTTTAGCACAGTTTCGAGTGTCCAAGCTCTGCTTGGAGCGTGCCTGTCACAGCCCATAGTGGTTGCTACCGTAAATAGGTTCCGCTTGGTTCTAGGTACGATCAAAGAGAGAACAAGTACAGTATCGGCTACAAAAGTTGGAGTTTAGAGAGGAACTGCAAACAACGTAATAGCAAAGTAGATAGTAACCGAAATCCAGTGTTACCCTTACATCCCGAATAACTTTCCTACATTCCGCTGGCCAGTTCAAAGCCTTTTCCATCAAGCGCGCAGATTCCAAGTGGCGGAAATTAGGGGTAGATCTAAGCAACTCTCTCATATTCTTTCCGGTTAAACGATCCAGTTGTCGTAAAGAAAGACCAAGTATTTGTGCTGCTCTTTGTCGAGCAATTTCCAAGTTTTCGGGACTCACGGATCTGTGAGAATCTGAAGCAAAAGAATACCGTCAATTTGAGCATAAGTAAAATCAAGAAACCAATAAAAACTGATACTTGTGGATGGCGTTAAAACAGTTTTATTGCATACTGCAATTGGTCTTACTGAGGCCCAACAAATGAGACAAGGTATGTAGTACATAAATGTATGCGAGGGAATGAAGCTACAATGGCAAATGCGACCATTAGAGCTAAGTAGACTACATCCAGGTTTTCGGTAATAGTAACAGGAGAGTGACCCAGTGGTTGTTAAAATTGGAAATTGGCGGAAACACCGAATAGCAGCGTTGCAACACCATCGCACTTGCAATCATTACCGTAATTAATAGTTGCATATAAGTGTGTCCTAATGCTACAGAAAGATTACCATAATAATGGGAAGCAAAATAAAGGATGGATAATGGCCGAATATTCGAAGCAAAAATCAAACGCTCGAGAACAAGTTAGATAAGCTTTGCACACGACACACATCGGAAGTGTCTTGTCACCGAGTGAGTGTAAAATGATATCTGTGAAACGGAGTCTGATATTCTCACCGTCCCGTGTTCAATAATTAAAGAATTCAGTGATGTATGATGGGATAAAAAGAATAATTTTACAAACCCACAGCATTATCATAGGCATTGTACAACAGAAAAATCTGCACAATACACCCGCGGTAAACCGTGCAGAAATGCAGGTGACGGCGAATGTTATTAGTGTCGAGTAGAATCCATGTTACGTGGAACGCAGAAATAGTTATATGGTAGGTCTGTGGGTGCAGACTCGGAAGTGAGAATGGCCAACGATACCCATTATAGTAGTCAGTAACATTGATTTACTCTGTTAGGTCAGTTAGGTCAGCAGCATTCTAGAAAATATACACCAACCAACATCAGGGAAAGCAAACAAGGACGCATGAGTGCTTAAGAACCAGTCAGACAGCTGGACTGTGCCTCGCACCGTCGGAAAATATGTATAGATTAGTTAGTTATACAAAAGGATGGAATCACTAAAAGTTTTATGAAGGATTTAGTGTACCGCCTTACGACTAAAGCATGGTATGGCGAAGAGCAACACAAAGCAGATCAACTAGCATTCTCTCGAACACGACCATGGTAGCAACGTCGTGGAATTCCATAACGGCACAAATATAAGGGTAAATGAATCAAGATGGTACTTCATACCGATGTATTGCTTAAGAGTGCGCTGGCCGCATGTGTTAACATTTTGGGTGTGAATTTCTTCCTGTGATTCCCACAAATATGCATATACGGTCCAACTTTGCCTATAGGTGCGTTTGTACGTCCCACACCCAGCACAGCTTGTGTGGACCGACACATGGAACCTTGTCTCACCAGTGTCACTGTCATTCATCAGTTTTACAACTAACCGCCACCATAGGAGGAATTCAATTGGCTCTACTATCAAGGTTACAACAGCATAGTCAGATTCATTTCGGGCTGATGGACATGGCACATTTCGTATCTGTAGACTACTCATGTATAAATGAGCATGTGCCACACACGCCACATACTTCGCGTTCGAATAAGCACAAGCTGGTTAAACAAGATATGTGCCCATACCCAATCGTAGGATGCCGCTTCCTTGATCATTGGATCCAGGAGAATGTCAATCAAGTGTGGAGAAAAATAAGACACACAATCTCCCAGATAGCACTGGGTTACGGAGTTGTTTCAACACGGAACGCAGCAACACTCAGTAGTTGACCCTGGTGTGCGCTAGAGACCGATTTCAAGCAATTAAATGCTAACAAGTACCAATCCACCACGAGCTAAACGCTACCGAATTCACGCAAGCATACACATTACCCAATGCTTCCATAGTCCGTAGATGTTTACATGACAAGTAGGTGCTGTGAGCCAGCTTCCGCTAACGAAACATGGGAGGAAAGACCAACATAAAAACAACAGTGGTTCAAATCTACACGCTTCTTAGATTTGTTTCTTTGGAATAAATCAAAAGAAAATGGATTATGAGTAAAGAATTCTTTATTCAGAATCTGCCCCTATTTGGTTTATTTCTTTGGTTTTAATTTGGATATTGAGCTTTCGGGTGAAGCTTAGGGCGATCAGTTCGCAAGGAACCCATGGTCCTTCAGTATTCGTGAACCTTCCATGGCTGTTCGCAGTCACAGTAACAGATAAATGGAGGCCCTTTATCGGTTGGCAACTAGTGGAAGCAACCCGAGGGGTAATGGGATGATATCAAAAATCCAAGCATACTAACGATGTAGGCCAGTTTCACACGGTAAACATCAGTTGACTGGGTGAAAAAGGGCGAAAGAGAAGCAACACAGTGTTCTGCAAAGTGAATACAGTGAGTTGTGACAAATATAGGCGAATGTTTCCAACAATCACCATAAGTTGCCGATTAACAATGGTGAACATTTAAAACCGCAGTAGCACAAAGTACCGAGGGGCTGAACTATGCTACTTAAATTTGTCACAACTAGTCCAACCTGATTCAATGGCACAGAGCTGGTTCATCTCAGTGCGTTTCGACTGTTCCTTGTATAGACCATGAAGCATGTTCACCGCAAGGACAGACAGCTGGTTCATCATGTTTTGGAGCAGATTGAGGACTTCCGCCAGCTGAAAGTGCATAAAAAATGCATACGGCCTGAGTGCAATTCTAGGCTAAACGAATGTGTAAGTTGCACATCGTGATTATGATTACTCAACGAATGAAGAAGCGGCAGAGAAATCAAAGAGTGGTGGGAGTTTTTGAAGGCAAGAACAAGCTGCGATCAACAAAGTAACCAAAAGCCAGCAGTAGAACAACTGGGGTGAGGGTAAGCGGAGGCAATGAGATTCTTCTGTCCATACATGAGAGGTGTATTGAAAGGGCTGACTCCGAAGTAAAAATGCTGATTATAGCCAATACGGTAGAGCATTAGAAAATGGACTTAGGTAACTACAAAGGCAATCATGATATCCAAAAACATCAAAAAGCTAAATAAATATCAGCTAAATTGTTGTTGCACACATGACTGGATTACTTTATTTCTTGCCGACAGGCCAAGTGGTTCCTGAGGCGATTGCAGGGCTTCATTGTCTACCTGCGTTCCGAGTATCAATTTCCTGTCAAGTAGCTGTCGTTGGACTTCGTTTAATCGCTCACGAACACTTTCGTTGGCCTCCTGACAATTTTTCAACTCTTGTGTCAACTCGACCTTCTCCCGTGATAGCGTCTTGAGTTGTGTCCGCTGACTTTCAAGCTCGGTTCGCAGACGGGCCTCAATTTGCCGCGTGCTTTGGAGTTCCTTCTCCTTGTCATTCTATAATAGAGAAAAAAAGTAGCATCGGAATAATTTCGGTCTTCGGGACAAGTAATAAATAGAAGAAGAAAGCTGGTTAGAGACGACTGCGTAAAGTGATAGAAGGGAAGAAAAGACCACCCACTGTACAGCGGAGAGCAAGAACGGTTACGGGAGAACTGGGTGCAGATAATGAGGGGCTGAGTTTTCTTATTAGCAGGGCCTCTGTCCATGTCATAATTAGCTGAAGCTTCTAAAAGAGGATGGAACATCACCAACAAAGCACATCGGCTCATGACAATGGATACATAAGTACATCTTAAGGAAAGGCTCATTTTCGTAGTGTGGCTGTGACGCGAAGTCATTTAAGCGATAAATTCGCTCTGGCCTTGAGCAAAGCGAACTCACGAGTCAAATCAGGACAAAGAAGTAAGTAAAATTCAGTATGATACAAACGATTAGCAAAAATAAATCGTGACAAACCTCAGCAATGGCCACTTTGCGCAGAAGAAAGCAAGTATTCAAGAAATACGCAAACGGCGCAAAGTACCAGAGTTGTGACTTTGCGCAAAGAACACAAAGGCCGAAGATGAAGCGCGGAGCTCTGTACTTGGAGTGAGGGGCGATGGATCGGCAACCAGGGGAGAAAATATGTGAACGACAGTACCATGAGTCAACTTGGGCACGTGATGGCGTCTTGTGATAGCGACGAGTTCACGGAACTCAACGGCGAGATGGAAGGCAAAGGAGAGCCACGCAAGTGCACATGAATGAGTAAGTAAGGATAATGTAAACTCCGCTGAGCACGTTTAACGGACACTGCAATCACAGTGAGTTCGTGGGGATGAACGATGTGGGGAGATGGAAAGAGCGACACGCGGGTCCATACGAAGGTGTGGACAAGCAGGATAGAAACCGTTTGGCAGATGCCATAAACCGCACCTGGAGAGAGCGCGAGCGGTAATCCAATATCCGTGGTGTCCGTTTGTCCAGTGACCATGTCGCCTGTAGTCATACTTTATCGCCGGCAGCTAACTGTAGCTAATTGAAGGAATACGCGTCACGGGGTCCTGGCACTTATTCTACGTGATACAATGGGCTTGAATGAATGCATACGAGACGAATGTCTGCTGAGGCAATTGCCGATTGTTTAACATCGCGTCAAATAATAAGTATAAAAGATAAGCAATTGTTGTTGATGTCGTGATGTGGCAGTACCTAAAGAACGTTAAACCTAAAGAACGGATTTCACATAGAAAGGGCAATGACCTAGTAACCACTACGTGTAGGTATGGTGTGCCATAACGACCAGATTGAATGTCCCGTTGGGGCGAATAAGCAGGTAACGCGCGCAATCTCTCGCGGTGGAATCTACATGTATACGGTATGGGACTGATTATGTCATGTATCTAGGCCTTCAGGATAGCTTGCTGTTTAAGAGGCCAAGTACATTAGTAGAGTTGGTGTTCTAAAGCTGCGGTGCATGATTGGTTAGTGGGGTTAAACCAATTAAGAAGTGGGGGTGAGATAATAAAACACGAGGTAAGCAAGAGCATGTGACAGTCGCACAAAGTCGAAGGACTGGAAATAACCGAAGCGAAAATGTAATGCACTTTAGGCGAAAAGCTTTGAAAACGCAGGCGTTTGCACATCCCAAATACACCACATATAAGGGTCCAGTGTGTCAAAATATCACTTAAATATAAGCTAATCCTGTTCAATAACGCCCGTAACACACGTTGGAACGTTGGGTAGCTAAAGTAGTTGTGTCAGCCAAATGACACAGCCGGCTGACACCACTGAATTGTCCGCACATGTGCAGAATGAGAATAATGCCGGTAGGGTACCACATCCTAGGTATCCAGAAGATTGTTCCCAATATCCTGATGTAGAAGACTACTGGACTGTCATGCCAATTGGTTGCAAATAATCAGTAGACAAATCGATTCACGTGAATTAGGGTTAGGATGTGTCATTGTAATATGCGGAAAACGTTAGCCGAAAAAGGCAGACGGGTAGATTATGTGATCATAGGAGACATTGTCTGAGTAATGAGCAAGGAGCGTTGTGAGCCAGCCAGCGGTAGGATGATAACGTGCCGGTTGCTGCTTTAAGCATAAAGAGAGTTCAGTCGCTTCGTGACAGTTAATCAGCTACACCCAAATACTCGCTCCATTTGCGAGCTGGTATATAAAGCCGTTCGAATTTCTGGATGCACTGGTGAGGTGAGATGACTAGAAAAAGTGCGCTGGTTTTAAAAAGATCCGGCTAAGACAGGACATTACTAAACTGTAACGGACTTGTACCAGGTCAACAGAGGTATGAACTTGCCCAAAACCAAATGGTGGAAGTCGTAGTCAGTAATGTGTTGAATATGGGTTGTTTCTCTTTGCACAAACATTAAGGCAATATAACTCTAGGCGGAAAATAGCTATCCGATCTTCTTGACGATCACAAAAATCCTCATCATCAAAGAGTTGTTTTCAAAGGTGATGACTGACAACGCAGGTGTCACAGTGATGGTCAGTGAGAACCAGTGACGCATTCAATCCCACCACTATCTTTGCCTACAATTCACTGGATTCGCTGTTTTCCTTGTGGCAGCGGATGCGGCCACATCGACAGAACAAACTGGTGTCAGAGTGATAGATCTGAAGGGAGCATTTCACAGTGGATTGGAAAGAAAGTTTAGCACAGCTGAAGCAATGGGCACCATTCAGTAACACCCAACTATGCGTGCACAAGAGTACCTAGTCATCCTGTGTAAGTCTACTCACGGCTTGCGATACTTTCGCGAGTCTCATATCTAGTGTTGCAGATTTTGATATGTGCCGCTTGATATAAGGGCGCAGTTGGAATCTACGTAAGTGCGGGCGACCTGAGTTACCCTTGGCCCGTGCGCGACTGGTGGTGGTGGAGTGGTGGCCAAGAGAAGGCGCAACATACTAGCATTTTGCTGATGCATCTTTTTCTATGACTGGAAAGTGAGTTCAAAATAGCTACCTTCCCAAGTAAGAGCAAAAGACGCTAACCAGCGAATGATCAAGTGAAACGAAAGAGTAACATTAAGCTCTACTCATGTCATTTGTCGTTTGGATCGACGTGGGGGGCTTAACGCTCCAAACCGCAATATCACTGAACTGGTTGAGAACACACGGAATAAACTGTGGAATACAAGCTTCCTTTGCGTGTTTTTTCCAAGTGATGGGAAACTGGATGACGTGACTAGTATTCACGGGTACCCATCAGTTAAAATGCTGAATCTTCGGCATTACGATGCGGTTAATCTACCTAGCAGCTTCGTGCAAATAAAGTCGATGACGACGTGAGTTTTGAAACTACTCCCTCTAAAACGCTATAAAAAGTAATAATTATTAGCACAGCGATCAACGGGCAACGAGACTTCCACTAATGCACTACATCGAATCAAATGTTTCGGTCATGACATGCAAACTATTATGTGGTGTGACGGAAAAGGGTCCTTACAACACAGCCTACAACAAAGCGAGGAAGTGTGAAGGAGATGATAAATAGTCCAGTCCCAAATGGTTCGCCCCAGCGAGCTAAGCGCATGTAAATTACAATAACCTCTGGCGCACGTAGTATGTTGACTAAAAGTACGCATCCCCCTACTAAATAATCGAAAAATGAAACGAAAGGTTTTCCTCAAAAGCATATAGGTGAAAGAGACAAACCTTTATGACAGACATTTGGGCTCACACTGACACTCACTATTGTGGAATGTAGCTGTGATTGTTCTTGTTTTGCCTCGGATAATGATCGTCGTAGCTCTGTGATCAAGGCACGACGTCGAGCATCTTGTTGTGCGAAATCAGTCAACTTCTTTCGCATCACCATCACAGATTGCGCTTTCTTTTCCAACGAGCTCTGCACACGCATTGCTAGCGTTCGGGAGATCTCGTACACGTACTGCAACATCAAAAACAGAGAAAAACGGTGAAACGTTGTGCAGATAGGAATAAGATGAACGTTATAAGGAAACTGGGCATAATATGTGCCATAGGTAGCTCAGACGTCAAGTACCGTGTAAACTCCGAAATTAGACGGCGAATAACTCGGTGATTTGGGCTTCGCATAGTGAACAAAGCATGGAGCCTTACGATGGCACCTTAGGTGACAGGTGTCCCAGGCGATGAATTTCTGGTAGGCAGTAGTAGGCAGACTGTCGGTTGGAAAAATAGTGGGAGGTGGATGCACAAGCAACTTGCTCACGATGGCCCCAAACACCTGGTCACCTGTTGTGATTTAGTCAGGTTCGAAGTTTGGTTAATAGGGGGGATCTAGGATTCTGTGAAAATTACACCTATAAGCGCAGTGGCTCGTGGATGGATGCACTCAACCCAACATACCACAGAAATGCATAAGTCAACCAAGGTTATTCTATTTCGTCTCGCCACGAGTGGATACCGCCATTTCGCCATCCAATGCCACTTGGAGCAATGGGCACTCTTATCATTCTAGGAAGAGTTGTCAGTACGTTGGTGACGCGTAGTTTCCAGCTATGGGTCGCGGAGAACGCCGTAAGTAAAGATATCCTTTGTGGTTCTCAGGCAGACAAGCAGAATAATACCGAATAATAACCGAGACAATCGACATTTCAAGCGCTCTAAAACTAGATTATGTAAAGCACACGACGCAACGTACACTAAATGCATATGCCCGCACTAATGGTGGGAGAGGATAAGATGGAGTAAATACCATAGCAGTTAAGTTGTTGACTTGTTCATCGAGTTAGACATTTCGTCTGCAGGCGAAAGACCTAACTGGTTGAACAAGTCAACATCCCAATACCCAACTAAAAATACTAACATACAGACTTACTGCCAGTGACTGTAGTGTGAATAGTTAGCTGGAGTTGCAGTAACAGCACTCGACCTTAAATATTGAGGCTGCGTTAGTCAAAGACATGGATTTCATGATTACAACTGAGATGCTTCGTGGGACCATTGATTAAAATTTGACGAAAGTGGAGTCGCCACAAATCAAGCAGCGTTAAGGCGTAGTGTGAAGTCAGATGAGAAACTGCATGTAGGCGAAATACGACATACCAAGAATTCCGGAGAAAAAGAGATGAAAAAACATACTGGTGGTTTCAAAGCGGTTTCCCATGATGTTAACAAAAACCCCTTGGCGTGGGATGTCGAGCATAACTAGCGTCTCGGGACCAGGCGAGTGTGCAATCACATTGTGCCACCGAGTGGATGAGGATACTCATCACCAAATGATCACTCCCAAGTATATCTCTTGTAGGAAAAGATACAAAGTTAGTTTTTTGTCTGTTTGTCAACAACAGCGCTTACAATCGCAGTACACCATCCGTTCGCACTGAAACTTAGCCGACGTAAACATTAACTGATTTAGGGGACGAAAAGTAGCAAGCGGGAGAGTAGGGAGATCTGGTGTAAAACCTGGACGCTTTGAGTAAACATTTAGGGCTAAGGCACCTACATCTTATCAACAACACATAAAGTACTGCATGTTGTGGGCAGAGGATCTAGCAACGAAACATAATATTCAAAGGAACAGATGCGGTTGAAAAGTGATGGGAATTTTGTGATTAAGTAGCAACTCACACTAACTGAATTGTTCTCCAGAAGTGGTGAGTAACAGATCACCTGCTCATCAAAGTACTCAACCGTTTTGTTACTCAAATCAGCGTCCAATAGGTTCACAAGCTTGTTTAACTTGTTAATATATTCAACGAGGTGCTATGAAAAGTGTAGATGAGAGAAATGTCCACAGGTTAAAGAAGTTACATATGTGAATCAGAAACTGCACGTTATCGAGCCACAAAATGCGCTCAGTGATCCAGAGACAAGACACGCACGCTTGACCGCAATGAGAATGGAGACTAACGTAGAAGTAACACATGTCCGATTTAGCATACCACAGCTGAGTATTGTGTCAGGCGCATGGTCCTTCATGAAGCTACATAGCGCCGAAACAAATTTGTAGTTAGATGACATGGGTCTCATGGATTCCCAGTGAAACAGATACGCTGATGAATGATACCAACCAAACAGTAACACATTGAACATGTTTGGTCTATCATCACGATAGAGTATGAAGTGTGAGCTGGTGCAACTGCTTAGAGCCACAGCGACTGTTGGAAAGCTGTATACTTAGTAACCAAGTGGTAGAGCATTTTAAACCACTATCAGACTGAGACGACAAGGAGTGAGAAGGACTTCCACTAGCCCGTCTGTCCCTGTGTTGCCTAATTTGATGAAAACATCTTAGCAGCGCAACCTCAGTGACAAGTGGTTGTTTGCTGATGGAGAGATCACAAGTGTACATCATACAAAAGAAGCCACGGTCACCAGTAAAACCAAACATGAAAGAACAAAGGTGACCGAGGATTCGTAAACAAGAGTAAAGCGTCAGCTATATACCATAACGGCGATTCGCTGCAGCGCAATGCGTGAGCGCGCGTGCGCTGAATATACCCCGAGGATGCCCGCCCCTACACGGATTCGAACCGGTGACCTGATGATTGCAAGCCAGGCGCGCAGACCACTCGGTCAGTGACCGAACCGAACATTCGAGTGAGGGTGATGGTGAATGTGTCGGATTTTTAAACTAGTCGCATGTTTCCATTACCGATATCCTATGAACATATCATACCTAGATCAGCACCGAGGTAAAATCTTGTTAGTGTGTAGAAAAAAGAATTTCGGGGTTATTTTAAACCGTTCTGTCTTCAGAGAAGATAGAGCGCCAAGAGAGAAGTTGGTTGAGGCAAAGAAATACAGCGTCCCAGCACGGGTTGCATTTGCTTGCGGCTACCAGCTCAAATTTTACAAATATTTAGCACTAATTGGGTGATAAAGGCTAAACTAACCTGCATCACTCTACGTGAACGCTGCTCCTGGTCGCGGCTTTTACAAAGGGCAGTCAACGCACCATTCAATCGGGTAGTGAGATGCTTCATTTTATTCTCCAGTGCGGTTTTTGCAGCCCGAGCAACTTTAAGCTACGAAGAGGGCAAAAAATGGGTAGAAGGGACGCATGAGAACTGGGAAAATTGTACTGCTCAGGTTTCATTCCTGCGTCGCACCACACAATTCCGGGTGGAATTTTCTACTTACCCATACATATTAATCATATTTAGCTCCAGTGACGCAAGAACAGTTATCCAAGTCAAGCCAAGTCAAAGTAAGCTTTATGTATCCAGATTGGTACAACATCAGTAGTTTACAGTACGACTACGGACTAGCTAAAATTACATTATCAAAACTAAGTTTGTATGAATAGAAAATGGACACTTTGTACAAGTGTCAGTTGAGTAAACGGTCAATATAAACGAGCAACTATTAAAAATTGCCGGATAGAATAATCCAAAGCTGCATTCTGTTGGGAAGCCAGCGTTGCAAGTTAGATTTCCAATCGAGACGGTCCATCTTCGATTGCGAAGTATCTTGGGTTATTCTCCAAACGTAGGCAATGGACAGCAGTTTTGACTTTGAAAATAGTTTGACAAAGATCAATGTTGAAGTATTCTGTGAAAACTAATGTATCCATAGCGATACTGTAAGAACGATGTGTCCGCAACTGATCTCCGATCCCCTCACACGGGTCAACGCTTGGCTAGAATGAACCGCCAACAATAAAATATACTTGACGTCAGTGTTTATCGCGAGAATGGGTCAACTGAAATCTCATTTGAGAGTATGAATTTAAACTGCGTTTTTGTGTCCATTTCAATAACAAAACAGCACCCAGAATGGAAAAACAAACGTCATTCGCTTTTAGTCTGCAGGATGAATTCACCAAAAATGAGGTTCGCCTACTGTCATGCACTCAGGAAGCACGCGAGCGAACGCATTGGGTAAAAGAATGAGATAATGTACCTTTGCAGTGTTTTCGTAATTATGTTGAGCCATACAAAGGACAAACGAGAACGGAGACCGTGGACCACTGTTCCGTCTTTTCGGAATTAAGGAGAAATGAGAAGCTGACGTTGCGAGACAGCCGGAAATTCTCTACCTAGGGGTCTGGTTAAGCTTTGTTACGCTAACTTCATATAAAACCACTGGACACTCCAAGGGTACTAAGCAAAGGGTCAGAGCCGTAATTCAACCTAAACGAATGCGCACAGCTTACTTTAAGGTAGACGATGGAGATCTGACATGGCGCCAGTATCTCCAGACCAATAACAGGGAAGCGAAGAAGCATTGATGAACGAACAACGTCAGGCTGTGCTGGGGTAGCGGATCTTAGAGATCAATAACAACGATGGAATAATTCTGACCCGGAAATACCGTAGAAAATAACATTCGGAATACACCTGCTTCGTGATTACAGCTGACTCCACCATCCGGAAAGCATTGCACATTTCAAATATCGTTCATACAAGATCTGACCATGGTTAAATGATGAATTTATATGAGCAAAATTAAAATAAATTAGCAATGATTTAGGCGTGCTCTCAACAGCGAAGCAGCCACAGTTAAAAGCAACAAAACCGCAACCCAAAATGTTGACAGGCAACCAACTTTTGGACTCAAACGTCCAGTACATTTCAAATTGCAGGTATTGATCAAGCAGAAGTAGTGGTATGACGAAGTAAGAGACTATTGCCGTAATGACTGGTGACATCATGCGTAAGAGCAGCTAATGAATCATAGGGCTTCAGGGTTAATCCGGTGATAGTTCTAGGCAAGTTATAATTTTGGGAATAGGCAAGTTTGTAAGATACATGTGTCTGATATGTGAAGTTCAGAAATAGTTAGCCAGAAGTCAAGAAAAACGACTATTTGAAATGTCACAAAGGGAAGTGAATAGGAAAGTTTGGTCCCCAAAAATTCAGCCAGCAGGTTCAGCAGACCACAGCCAATTTATGACGGATACGAACTTCGGAACATTTTCGACATGTTAAGACAAGCTTCTTGATTACTATACACCATCGGCAACCGCAGTCACGATTAATACTGTTAGCTCGAAAAAATCTAATTACATCCAACGCAACTGAAAATGAAGAGCAAAATACCACATTTGGATCTTGGAGTGCTCATACATGGCTGGGTCGTTCTCTCTTATCAACGCACTCTAGAACGCGTTTCGTCAGTGTTTGGACTATTCAGGTAGATAGAGCCTTGCATGGAAGTCGAGATCGGCACGTAGTGGTTGCTAGCCAACGCCATGATCACTAAGCCTCTGCGACTCAGTAGGAGTTTTTTATATATGAGTTAGAAGTGGATAGTCTGGATTGCGACAAATAATCCCAAGGGGGGTAACGGTTAACTTTGGAGTCAAACTCCGCTGTTACGAGCACTGGGAACGTATCCAAAGTGGAGGTTTTCGGCGTTGCTTCCTTCCGATCAACGCACTTCATGATTAGTTTCGTCCTTGTGATAGCCTTAGCTGAAAGTGGAACACGGCAATCAGTCGATGAGGGCTGACCCCACTGAGCTCCACGAGTAACGCTTGACAAGCGCTTAGAAATTCATTGCTGTGTTTTGGAGTATCCGTGAAAGCGGGCTCCACCCGCAGCTTAGACTGTCGCTATCTGATAATCCAAATTGGGACGGAACGAATCATGGAGTGTATTGATGGAAGGGCGCAACACCAAAAGTCTCGAAAATATTAATAATAGGTATATTTCTCATTGAGTGAAAAACTGTGTCCATATTTGGTTCGGAAAGTGTGATCCGTGACAAGTAGATGATCTAAGGACAGATCCCAATGTATGAGCCCAACCCGCCTTGTTGACTGTCCGTTTTCACTGAAAAGGACACGGTGACTGGGTCTAATGAAGGAAATGTATGTGCTGGCCGCAAGATATATGGCAGTGTTTCAAATAAGGGAAATGATGTTGGGTGCAGAAGTCACCCGATTTCGATGAAACGGTATACCTGAGACTCAGCAATTCCTGTATGCAATGAAAACCGCCGGTTGCCGTTTGTCAATGAAGTCGATATAAATACAGTGCAAGCGACAAACGTAACGAACAGAGGGCAGATGAGAAAGTCTCCACATCAAGTGCAGTTCGATCAACCAACCAAAGAAGTATAGAACAATCAGACCCGCAGGTAAGCCATATGTAGGATGGAATACGCGAGCAGCACGCAATGTGTTTCTATTTATGCAACGAATGGAATGCATCGAACAAAAGTGCAGTCAAAAGCTGGTGGAACTGGATGAAAGCAAGTTTCATTACCCAGTTCACTAGGCGACACACTAGAAAAAGAATCACATTAACGAGGAGGCAAAGCATTACGCGCAACTGAACAATACACGAGAAATAGTGGTTCGTGTTGAGAAATGGCCACTGCTCGGTGCATTGAGAGTGAAGTTGGTGGACTTACTTGCTGAACTAAGCAGTTGTTTCGCTGCTGAAGAATGACTAGTGGCGACGGCAACAAGGTGTTTGGGGCTTCAGAAGGAGCAGGGGTGACAGGCAGATCATCCTTGTTAGTTAACTTTGGAGTATGGCTACAAAGCAGAAGAAAAGGATGCATTTAATGTGGTATGAGCTCGCTTCGAAAAGCGGTTGAAACTACACCGCTTTTAAGTGGTTATGGGAATACATTGTGCTGAGAGAGTAAACGTTTTATTAGAACACAAATGTAGGTTCAGGGTGTCAATTCGGTCACCAACACGTAGCTAATCAAAATCGCAAGCAGGCGCCTTTAAAAAATGAACTTAAGATGTAAATGAACGGCATAAAATGGTGCGATTACACACGGCCGGTTAAGGTCAACCAGCAATAATTTGTGGTCAAAAAGTCCAGATACCGAAAATGGACATTTCACGCTTAAGGTGCATAAGTCCCCCTTTTGCACATTGCACTGCCTCACCCGCAGGTCGTACAACACTGGGAGTCTGGTAAGCGCCCAAGCTCGAATAGGTCTACGGAGAATAACGTGGTGTCAAGGCAGGTTATCCACATTCGTAATTGATTGCGAAAAAAGTCACAAAACTGTCCCAAGGATAGCAGCACTGGTGTCTCACAGCAACACCAATGGGCGCTGTCGTCTTCGGTGATCCGGGATCACACAAGCGAATGTTACTTAGGCGGATCAGGAGATATTGCTGCCTGTTATGGAGACTGAACGTCCCCCACAAGACCTCCGGCGAAACCACGCAAGGTCAATGCACGTTTCGATCAGCCCCACATGGAAGAAAGGTTTCCAGCCAAGCCCTAACAATTATACACATCCAATCAAATCATGTCTTGCTATTGACCTTTGACCTGTAATTGCTTGGTTTGGCGAACAAAGTTCCTGGGGCGAATGGTCCGTCCTTTGTTCTTATCTCGTGTGAAGTTTGTGCTCGGTCTGGGAGAACGTTCCAAATGTGCGCGTAGCATCGTGTTGTGCCCAAGTCTACTGGGTTGTAAGAAATCGAATTCTGTCAGCTACTTATCGTGCAGAGAAACATTCTGTCTCACGTATGTTGGTTCAAGTAACAGAGTCGTACCAATTCATAATACACACGGTGGGACAAAGAACCAATTTGTAACACTGCTTCAGAAAAAATGCGGTGCGCGTGTCTTCAATACACTATCTGCATTACGAAGCGCCTTGACGTTGCGACGGTTTCAGTGAGTTCTCTCGACCCCAGATTCTCTGCTCGAAAACAGTACAGTGAGGAAGTAATAAGTCTACACGCATCAGCTCACAAGTTATAATCGTATTCCCTCAAAGTATTCTCGTGAATCATAAAGTATCCTACAATGTGTAATGCTTAAACTGTTCCCACAACACATGCTGGATGATTCAAGACAGGTGGTGCCGTAAATATGCCGGATAAGAGAATGTTGTCAGAGCCCACTAGCTACCTCACTTGGGTCAAAAAAGTGCGTATTTTATGTGGTAGCAATGTAGGTTGATCGTTGTTAACTCACACCACATTTCCCTCTGATGATGTTTTATTTGTGAGAACTCCGTATCTTTGTGATTAACTAAACTGTACAAACTTCACTTTTTATTGCTCCAATATGTATGTTTCTAAAGGGAAATTGTGAACGACATATCACTCTTCACCTTTTCATGTTGGAGGTTGTGTCGCCGTAGCGACCCGAACGTTTTGCCATCCTTGGGCGAGGTTGGCCGGCAAGCAGTTTGCAGCGAAATCGACTGCTTTGTGGCCGAAATGGCCAATACTGTTTAGCCTCGTAAAGAGAAAAGTAAGAAGAGGATTAGGGGATAATTCTTGGAGCGTCCATATCAACGTAGATATCAATATAGTTAACATTAATGGTCCACGTGATGTAGTGGTCCGTGGGCCGTATTGAGACATTACGTTGTTGTACATGACTACTGAAATGACACGGAGTGACACTGATACTCTACAGCAGTCGATCAGACCAATTTAGTGCCCAGCTCGAATCGAACGAAAGTGTGAGTATATATGGCTCTTGCAGACAAAACTGGGTTGTGCTGCATATGAAAGCGGGATCTTCTCAGTAGCTTTGACTACGGTATTTCAATATGATCCTAATTGTATGCACTGAAACCAACCAACCAGCAGAATAGACAGATTTTTTGAGACTAAGAGAAGACGAATCCGTTAAACTGACAAGAGCATGAAGTCTGAACTGTCATCTTTAGCTAGTTATCCAAGCAGTTCATATATCATAGTCAATCTGGTTATTAACTTGCGGTTAAGCGGCTATTCACTGTTGTCTAAACAAAATCTTCACACCATGAACCGTCGCGTAAGCGATACGCAACATGGCACTTGCAATTTCTCGAAGGCGAAAAGCAGTTTGTTTCTGTGCCTAGGCAACAAAAAGGCGTTTGTGAGTCCAAACTGCCCAATTCGCTACTTGAAGCGGTTGATGCCGGCACGGTTTGTAGAGCATATTCATCCTATTCAATCAAAAATGGACATTTTCTCAGATTATATTGAATTCGGTGGATATTAAGGAGCGATCATCTTCCTTTCTTCCTTCCTTGCTAATTCGAGAAACATGATTTCCCATCAACAGATAGTAGTTACGGATACCATGGCAATGTTATCTCTCTGGCTGTACAAAGCAAAGAGTTGGGAAACCCTGGACAGCGAAACAAGAATCGGGGGAGTTGGTGAGATAGCTTCCATTCTGTTTCACTACCTTTAATATTTCTAAACAATCCAATACCATGTTTTGGTTTTTCTGTGTTATTCCATTGCGTGCCGTTGAAAATGTTTCCACTTCTCCAGTTATGAGAAAGTTATTCACTACTAAATGTGTCGGTGACCGTTGCTCACAAGGACTGTTATCCGCCATTCAATAATATTTTATCGGAAAGTTAGTATAATCAAAGGTAAACAATGATTCCAGCATCCATTGTATCAAAATTACATCCACCCCACTAGATTTATTGTTATCAGACCACATCCCATTTTCTGAAAAGACAACAAATTAATTGTCAGCGAGCTTAATAAGGCACAACTCTAGATGTAGTGCTGGATTCAGAGAATCACCGCTTAGTTTATATAATTATATGGTGAGTTGGATTTGTGCACCATTTCAAAATACCAAATGACCAGTTAACTCCCCACATAAGCATATATCACGGTCGTCATCAGTCAATTCAACGAGCGCAAAATTTAGAACTGCAATTTTTTTTATCCGGTGGTAGTTCACTTGTCACGCATATTTAGCGACTCAAAAATCTGGCCCTAATAACGTACGTCTTCAAATGACCAACCTGTGTTAGTATACAGTACGTCCGCGATGCCAATGTAGAAACCGAACATTTTTGAAGTTGAGTACCTCCATTTATTTTGACCTGACACGACCATCATTTTAATTCAAATTTCAATAGACACAGTTTGAACACAGTCGCTGTACTGGTCACTGAGATAACATTAGTAAACGACAGGTTCAATCTTTAGAAAATTGTATGGTAAGCAGTCTTCAAACCCAATTAGCAGTCGACACACCGAGGCTGCTTTTCCGAAATCCATGGCGGACATTGGTGAGTAAGATGTCTTAACAGCTGTGATGTGATGGGACCTTCTTTGTTCCTTATGTAAGCACCACATACGGTAGCTAGTTTCAAGGCCAACGCATCAGGGCAAAAAGCCACTAAGCAAAGTTCACTAGCACTCCAAAAGACACTTGAACTGCCAATATGTGTTGGTTTCCTCATGTGGACCGATCACATAGTAACCATCTAGTGCCACGAGAAGATATAAATTACCTTTCGCCTTGGAAGAAAGGAGATGACGGATGATATCCGATGAGAATGCTTGTTTCGCTGTATGGAGTCATACTTCTTGGAGATGATGGAGCGAGCGCAGTTTATGCTGGCAGGAACCCTACAATAAATAGAGCAATGACGAAGTTGAAAAGTAGATTGCAACTATAATTTAATGTAACACTAAGTAAATAAACCAACTAGTCCACATGTCGCACTGAACACACAATAGAAGTTATTTCTAGTGAGGCCAAATGAGACCAGAAAAGATGGCGTTCACGAATACCTGCTCAGAAGAACCGCAAATGATGATTCAAAGATCGTGCGGATTAACATGTGGGCGGACAAATCAGCATGTTTTTGGCAAGATTACAATGCAGTCGCAAAATGCATGTCAAAAAAGCGGAGAACAGACGTTTCACATTATCGTGACTCACCCAGTAGCAACCTCTTAGAGCCGTGTTACTCAATGATGCGTGAAATGGTCCCACTTCGGATGTGCTCCAATTGGTAGGGAAGACTGAACGTGGGAGTGCATACTGCAATCCGAACACTAGGGACAGCCTGCGTTACCTACTGGTAGCATGTGGACTATTCGGCCGACTGTCCATTTTCTATGAGCGACACAGGTAGACGCTGTTCGTCCTCGTTCATTTACTCGACTCAGATCCAGTGGGGTACCACAGTAGACTAAATATGCTTGGTTGACTTATTAGAGATTTTGTTCAGATTCGTCGTAGTTAGACTCAGACAGGCGGCCACCACAATCCAGGAAAGCGCTAGACGGCCGTTTCGTCCTATTGGGACTCGTCAATAGTGCGCACCCGCCGAATCCTGTCGGATTCGAACCCTCCACTATATGCTTGGGACCCAGCGACTTATGCCACCGAGCCATAGGCGACGGCAGCGGACCGCCGTGACTGACAAGTAACTGCGACATAACGCTACTCATCCTCCACTGCCACGCAGGCTATAAACTTGCAGAGGACAGAGCTGGCTCCCAGAGCCGACTTTCTTTGCAAGCCGCCACCAATCAAGGTGGCATGTGAGCTGCCAATGCGACTGCCGATTATATGCAAGTGGTAGGAGGGATTTATTGGGTGTTTTGTTCAGATTCGTCGCATTCTAACTGCGTGTGCGCGCTACTGACGAGTCCCAATAGGAGGAGACGGTGTTTTCCTGTATCTATGATGGCCATCTGCCTGAGTCTAGCTGCGACGAATCTGAACAAGGTTTTTGGTTGACGTTTCATCCACTATGTCCCAAATTTGACCCAAATATTTAAACTCGCGCACACAATGCATCTATTCAATCACTACCACGAGAGTGTAATTCACCCCCAAGCAATGGTATTTTGCATTCATGAAATTGACGATAGTGACTCCATATGATGCAAGTGCTCTAAGCTGCCGAATGTTGGTGTCCGTGCTGGTCTCATTCAGTTGAGAAACCCGGGAGTGAAACATGATACAGAAGGACAAAAGAAACCGACCACCTACACGTTTGCTACCACAGTGAGACTAACCATCAATTCGCAATAAAAAACAAATTGGGGATAATTGGCCAGTTAAGAGTCAAGGAGGATTGCTCCATCCTAGTGAGTCTGGGGAGCACACGCGACAAATACCGGGTGACTATTTCACGACATGCAATTTGAGACGATGTAAACGTCCGCAATTTACGGTGCAATTTGCCTCCATGGCGAAGCATAAAGGTTATGATTTTGGGCAATCAAATGCTATACCGAATGCACGATATTTTACCGGCGAAATGTACCACCAGAAAACCGGTCAGAAAGACGACAAATTCATGTCACTTGTAGGCACGCACAAGACTGGATTACCAGGCGTTAAACTATGGAGTTGATGAAACGAGTTCGGATAACGCTGACTCCCCGGTTTAGCCCAGTGGAGTGACATACCACGCAGAGAAGTGACTGAGTAGATAGTGGTTACGACAGTCATAGTGCGCATCAGAAAGAGAAGTGAAATCATCTGTTGTCACTAACTCGAATAGGGGAGAAAAAGTAGCCTTACTATAGAAAATATATAATACACGGTGTGTTCGGAAGGAAACCGAAATTGTGCTATAACAGGTTTGTTGTTCATCGTACAACACTTAAGCATTGTCCAACTCAAAGTAGTCCACTTTACTGGCAGTACAGAATTCCAAACGGTTGCTCCATTTTTGGTAAGCCTCCTGAAACGCCCTTTCTTGGACGGCGCGCAGGTCAGTTGCCGCGTTGTACTGAACCTACTCCATGGTTTGGAAACGACGTCCTTGAAACCTGGTTCTAAGTGTAGGAAACAGAAAATGTCTACTGGCGCTAGGTAGGTAGAATACGGTGGAAGGGGCACAACTGTATTTTGATGTTTTGCTAGACAGCTGCGGAAGAGGAACGAAACGTGAGTTGGCGCATTGACATAATGCAACATTCAAGCGTGGTTTTCCTACAGTTCACGCCTCTTCCTGTGTACAGCATCCCACAAACGCACCAGAATCCCTTGTTTACCATATGAGTACATGGTACAAATCCTGGTAGACAATGCCTTTTCAGTTACAAACATGACCAACATCACATCTTTGGTCGATTCATGCGTGCCTTTTTGGATGAGGAGACCCTTGCCCCATCCAAAACGACAACTAAACCTTCGTCTCACGTCCTCCATTGAGTGGCTGTAGCACGCCAACTAACGGTTGGAGCGAAATGCGGAAAATGACAGTTTAATGTATGAACAACCCAATGGGTGCACTCAGTAGCCGCAGCGCACTTCCTCTACCGGTTAGCGCGCTGTTTTTGAACACAGTAAGAGAAAAAGGTAGAAGAGTTATAATGCAAAGCCATATGAAGTTAACGTGATCAGTAAGCTTGGACGGGATTGAGTGAACGGCAGAAATCAAAAGAAGTATTCATTGAGCCACGGCAGCAGACTGAAAGGGGCAGTGTCGGCTAAAATTGAGGTGTCTGCCAAGGGTATACAGGCACGATGTGCAGAAACCTAGAACATTCCGCAATCGAGAAACAACTCGGAATGTAAAACGCAGTGGGCACAGAAGTCCAAGAAAGTCTGAGCACATTCATTATATAAATCTGGAAACTAAAATGATTACAATATCTTTTGCCTTCAGACTGTAAACTAGTGCAGATTCTAGATGTGAGTAACAAACGGAGGATGGATTTTGTCGATTTGCTTACGGCGCGCTTAATAGCGCATTGGATACAGCAAACATCTTCCTCGTAATTTCCACATCTTTGCATAATATCTTTGGAACGCATGACATGCGATGTCAACATATCAAAGAGGAACATGATGCCTGTTGCATCGCCATTGCGAGAAGACATTTTGGTGGCAAATGATAAACTCGGGAATTAGCCAGGACTATAGTGAATGATGGAAACTATACCAGCCAAACAGAATTAAAGGCAGGTCAGCTATGAAATCATTAGCACAAAGGATATATTTCATAGATAATTTACTACGGTCCACTCCAAGTCAACAGGCTTTGGCAAGTCTGGAAAAACACCAGATAGCGCTATTTCGATCTTCTGGGTCTCCTCATTGGTGCGCCTTCCATCGGACCCTTGCCGGGTTCCGACCCCATAACTTCCGGATGCCAGCAGCTAGTGCCACTTCGCCATGGGTGACAGCCGCGGATCTGCGTGCTTGACAGTTGAATTTGATTTAATCCGGCTCATCTTCCACTGTCATGCCAGTTACGTACTGTGCAGAGGACAGCAGTTAGCCGCACGAGCTAGGACATTCTGTATAGCGCCTATGCACGACATAGGAATTAGAAGATATATGGACAGATGAATTATCTCTGAAGTATACAAAAATCCCCACTACCCATTAGTAATAAAGGACACATGTTTGTGCACTGATTTGAAATCGCCCTGTTCCGCTGCTACACATGGACAGCATCGGTTACAGACGCCATACTAAATGTTGCTGGAGCGGAACCGGACCGCATCCTCACAAAGGTTGATTCCTCAATCGCCTACGGACCTTTGGCATTATAGCTGGACGGTTCCATGGGTTGCGCGACCTTATTGATTTAAGTGTATACGGTGGGATTTTTCATCCATTGCTCGATGAGTAAACGATAGAGCGGCATAAAAAGGAGCTAGGAGGGTTGTTTCCAGAGTGTTTGGTACCCCGAGGTGGTGTTCCCAGTTACACAGCTTGCATAACAAGGCCACCTGTTTCACGCAGTCTTGGGCCAGGAAGATATGGACGTAGTGGTAAGGACAGGGCAATTAATATGTGTAGAGTTCGACCACAGTTGATTGACTCTATTCGACTGAGTCACTAAAAAATACCAGGATGCTTCGTGAATCTGTCAAATTAAAAAACCCATCATAACAGCCCTACTACTGGCATACCGTGGTCAAGCCTCACCACCGGTGATCCAATGTGACAGGCAACAAACGAGAACTGGCGCGGCTCGTTGCAAAAGAAGAGACCAATTGGCCCCAGTAGTAGGAGACCCTCGAGCAAGGAATGAAGATGTGCATTAATTGAGGAAGCAGTGAAGATAGCGATATTTGGTGTAGATTGTGTTAGCAGTGACAAACTTTAATACTAGCCAATATGTCACCGATCAACGTTGTCCAGTTTGCATAACGAGGAAACTAACCTGTGCGACGCGACTACGAAAAGAATATCACAGCGGTATCGTTGCGCAATGCCTAACGGTTCATTAAAACGTTTACTTAGGCAGAGTAAAACATGAAGTATTTCCGAATGGAGAGATTACAACGGAATATGTGAATGATAGTGAGTGGTAAGACAGAGCCTGCAGTTCCACGTCCTATACAATTCAGGGAGATTCGCTACAGTGAAACTGAATCAGATAGTAGTAGCGGTTTCAAGTGCATGTTATGAATGCAGTATAACATTTGTCATCTACACGTGCAATAAAAGAAACATTGAATCTCAGGAATCAAGATAACATAATTCCCAAACTATTAATGTATGTAGTCACATTTGTGATGGGCAACAACAAGGTAGACGCTCGGATGAAGCTATAAACCTTAGAAAGGAATCAGTTTTCCGGCAACGCAGTGCCAAATTCGTGTGCAGCCAAGAATGCAAATGCTACAGTGGTAAAACATCGAACTTAGAAGTTAAAGCGAAGTGTGAGATCGTTCTCTTAGAGTAGACTGTGAGAACTATGTATAATCTACGTTTATGAGAGAATAGAGAACAAAAGCGTCGTGTGTAAGAAATGTCAGCTTAGTGCAAAGCACCTGATTGGATAGATTCTCAAGAGGTAGTGTGTAGGGCATTTGAGAGAAGGACGTGTGGAGGAAGCGGTTCGAAGCTAGCCGATAGAGGCAACAAATGTCCGGCTGCGTCATGCTCCACATGAGCTCAACAGAGTGATAGAACTCACCGAGCTTGGCTTGGTAGACGCATCTGCTCATAGGTAGGAGAAGCTTGCTGGCCAAACTTGGATGTTTGCGGGAGACCTGATCCAGGCGGGTGTAAACACCACGAGTTAGAAAGCGGTTGCTGCGTGTGGAGTGTGTTGGAGAAAAGACTGTATACAATCTTTCAAAAAGTACCACGTTGAGTACTAAGAGGAATGTCAAGTGCGATCGAGAATAGTGGCGCTTTCCCGAGTAAAGAACAGATTAGTATAGGATACAGATAGAAGTTTTTGGTGAGAAGACAACAAAGGTTGTAGTGAACTAGGTTCGGAGTCCAGAGGTTGAGGAGTGAAAGGATGAGGCAATAAGTTAATACAGTGATTCGCCTAGATCTTGGTATGAACCTAGGGCTGATACACCTTAGTCGCCACATTAACGGTTCCATGTGCGTGTATGACCCAGCCGGACCCATGAATCACATGCAATGCAAAATAGACATACGGCACGTCCTTGAGGTTTCGAATTGAGTTAAATTTCAGTAGATGCCAAGATCGGTTACATATTCATATGTGCTTGCAATTATATTGGGTTTAAAAAGGACAGATTTCATCGCGCCGATGCCAGCAGAAGCGTACAGACTGCAGAAATTACAGGTCTTTCGTTACTTACAACCATAAAAACGGGGGAGTAACCGTGTTGCCCACTCAGAAGGATTCACTCTAACACCGACCTTGTCTTTGCTCACATAATGTAGATATAACCTCGGATCAGAGTTCAGCTCGATATGTTATGAGCTTCAACCGGTGTCCCTATCGCCACGCCACCAGGCTCCGTACTCAAAACCAGCCACAGCGGTTCGGAATTTCCCTGCAAGTTTCTAGAATAACTGCCGGCAAGTGAAAGATAGGGGCGAAATTCGGTAACCATCACGTCCTGCGTTCGAGTTCCAACAAAAAGTGCTTTCTTTAAAGGGTACCCATGAGGATGAAAACGGTTATGGAGTAAAGTGTTGGTGGTCAGAAGCGCAGAAAAGACGAATAACCAGAATGACATCCCAGCGACTGAAATGGCCGAATAATAGTTCAAAACAGGTCAAATTTCATATTTGAATCGCATGCTGCAATCCAAGAGTGAAAAAGACAATGATGAAGAGGAAGATGTGATGTGAAGTTAAGATGTTATCAGGTTCAAGCGAGACCTGTTGGGAATAGTTGTATTGTGGAACCTAGATTGCAACAATACAACACTTACTGAATGAAGTGATATAAGCAGTATCTCACATTTACATTTGAGGATTACCATATACAACTAAAAATCACCAAACATCTATGAGATGGGATGAAATTGCCGCGTTACACGATCAGAGATGGTTGAGCATGGGGATTTAATAAAGCTTGCGGGGGTCTTCATACCTAAAAAGTCTCCGTTAAACAAGTATAGACAAAGGATGGTGCCTCAGCACCATCGTCAAGACAGCTATCGGGGAATGATGACCGTCGGAGTTGTGTGAAGTCGCAACGGGCTGCCAGCGCGATTCAATGATAAGATGATTACTCGATCACCGTGAAGGGACAATAGACTGTAGGAGAGGACATAACCAATACGTGACGAACATGTAAGGATAAGTAATAAGGTTTAATCATGTTAAGAAAGCAGTGAGCAGAAAATGTCAAAACACACTACTTGGTTACAATGAAGAAATTCGTTGCCGCTGACCAGGACTACAAAGGGCATTGAGACGAAATTTTGAACACGTAACGAGACAATAGTGAACGAAATAAAAACCGTGTATTTTAAGAAATCAAGAACGAACAACATTTGAACGGGATACTCTGAATTCAGATATTTTGTACATTCTCACCAGTTGTTAGCATGCAATCCGCGGAAAAATGGTGCTGCGTTTAAAAAGAAATTACGTTCAAGGCCATTCAATAAAGTTGAAACAATCAAAAATTTATTAAGACAAGATGAGGCTAGTCATAAACTCAGTCTGTTTGCATAAATTAGATTTCAGCCGCCAAACTGCTGAAGCTCCAGCAAACTGAAGCGGAGCTGCTTCGTTGGTGAATTATCCTGAATGACTCGTGGGGATTAGGGTATATGGAGCAGTTTGGAATGTGTTGGGCAGTGGAGCTTGCCTGCAGCTTGGGAGCGTTTGCGACCATATTAAGTGGAATGTGCTCTGAAATCCTGATTGACATCCTTCGCTCAGTTCGTCCCAAGTACTTGCTACAACAAGTACAGTGAGAGGTAAACACACGGGGCGGTAACTAGAGGGACGGCTTGTCAAGGTTGGATTGACATAGCAGCGTCCTTACTTGGTGCAATAGCACAAGTTCGGCGACCTAATAACACTTATTTTCACCTGGCCCCCTTTAGACGGTAGTGTAATAAACACACTTGTTTCCTTGCCTTCTATATTTGCGTATCGTGCTACAAATCGCTCAGGGTATCCGTTTTCATGTGATGTTGAGAGCACGTGCTCCAGCTCACCGCTGATAGTATGGTTAGAGCAAAATTAACGTGCTCTTGCAAATGCGGTGAAAACCAATGCTCGTTTATAGTTTATAGGACAAAAGCTGTTGGGTACTGTCCTGTCCAAGTGAGCTTGCGATACACGGATCGAGTGAGCGTACCGCCTGGATTCCTCTCTAGTTTTACACCCAATAAATGGAACGAGTTATCCATTGCACTTTCATCGTGAATTTGACTGCAGGGTGGCACGCGTATAAAACATCGAGTAAGGGTGTTGCATGTTGATCAGTATCAGCCACAACAAACATGTCGCCAATGTATCTGCAGTATAAATGCACATTTTGTATGCGATCACATAGTGCGGTGTTCTCCAAGTGACCCATGAAGATATCAGCCAGGAATGGACCAAGTGAGCTGCTCATGGCTACACTATCTATCTAACGATAGATCATTCCATCGAATTGCAACTGAATGTCTTTGGTGTATGTTGCGGGCCCGTCAAAAATCCTCGCAAAAAACGCGCCAGTAACTCCGGCATAATGGCTGTGGGAAGCGGAGTCCAATTTCTCCCCACAACGCAGCAGTGTTCAGCCACTCCGAGGCGCGTCCCAACTGCGAACCTTTTGACAATGGTCATTTGCAAACTACCACCTCTGCGTGGTGACTTTTTCCCCTAACTTAATAACCCATAGCACTGGCTGTGATCGCCCTTTGTCGGTCGTAAAAGAGCCTACAGAGGACCACTTGTCTTTTCTGTCTCTTCGCCTCAGTTGGGAGTCGGTCGGGTCGCGTGATTGCGTGTGAATCGTTAGCTGGCCAGCCTTCGCGTCTAAGGCATTAGCGCGCGTCTATCGTACCCCCTCTCGTGTGCGTCCGTTTTCAAGGCCTCAGCGTCTATACGAACAAGTGTGGCTAAGATCGTTCCCACGCTCGTTCAATTTTCCGTCTCACGGCTAAGCTAGCGTCATCGTAGGCGTGCTCCAACCGTGCGAGCGACAATCTTGTCACGCAATTACCTCAAGAGGCGGAGTTCCCCCAATTATAACAGTGCATAACCTCAGTAAGGACTTAAGGTGCTGCGCCGGAAATCCCACTTAGTCAGCGCGAACGCTGATGATATCTAAAGTCTATTCCAGTGGAACATTGGTGAACAAAAAGCAGCTCTCAAAAGAAAGCATGTATTTCCTTTCTGTGTTTAAGCCTTGTATTTTGTTGATGAATTCGAATGCATCTTTGATAGGGTGTCCAGTAAGCTCACGTCGGATAGGCTCGAGAAGCTAAGCTAACCACCGTGACAGTTTCTGATACGGCGCGTTTATCATTGAAGCAGTCGGACGCAGGGGGATGTTTTGGTAAACCGCATATATGAAGAGCCTGAGATCCGCGTGGGCGGAGCCGTGTCATCGTTTTAACGTCAATCGATCCCGCTTTGAATAGCTTTTTCAGTTCACTAACTATACCATTTTAAATTTGCTGGGTTCTATCACGACCTGACGACTAGAGTCTGCAAGAATCGACTGCATTTTTTGAAGGTAGTCTTGTTTATCCATTATGACTACTCCTGGTCCATTGACAGATTTCAGTACTACTAAGTTATCATTTCTGCGCAGGTTCACCAGAGATTCCCAGCGATCCTTTGTTAGAACTTTGCATTTTTCGGTTTCAGTAACACAAAATTGGTTAGCTAAATCCACCGCCTTAGTTTTATACCAACCGCATGTGTCGTCAATGGCTGGAGTCAAGCTGGACAGTTAGTTAGTTTTCGAACTGTGCCTCAATTCCTATTCTGTCCAAGTATTTGGTGGCACTGGAAAACTGAACCATAAAGATATGACTTCAAGGTGAGAGCGACTTACAGAGACAGTGGACAGGGATTGCAAATCGTTCAGGATAATTAACCGTCAGAGCAATTCTCGCCCGCTTGAGTCTGTTGAAGCATTAGCAATTCGGCAGCTGAAAGCCAATTTATGCAAACTGATTGAATTTATGACTAGCCTCATCTTGCCCTGGTAATTTTTTGATTGTTTCAAAGTTAAATTGAGTGACTTTGAACGTTGTTTCTTTTTAAATGCAACAGCAATTTTGCACGGATTATATTTTAACGGCTAATGAGAATACCCGAAATATCTGAATTCAGAGTATTCTGTTGGAATGTTGTCCCTTCTTGCTATGTTAAAAGTTGTGAAGGGAAAATCCTAAAGTGTATTTTGTACGGATAACAACTGGTGTATATGAAACAGAAGTCCGTGGTCACGCCAAAATGCGATGTGAGTCACCGATTATTTGACTGCACACCACGACGAGTTTCAGCCTTATTTACTCGCATCAGATGGAGATAGCAGGCCTTAAACTCGGAACCATTGGGATGGTAATTGAGACATCCACCATTTCAGCCACCGGGTCACGACGGCTGCATTTGTTGCTAACGCAGTGCTACTGATGACAAATGAGTGACAACAGACATAACTGGAAAGTATAAAAATCCCAACAAGAATCAAGGCATCAAGCACCTACTGGATCCTTGGATGACGAATTGCCAGGGGAAGTATCCTCATCGCCCTGCATTTTCGGCCCACATTTACCGAAAAGCACCGAGTCGTATCTTGCGGGAAAGACATTGATATTGGGGCCTTCGTCTTCACGTAGGTTTGAACCAGCGCTGTTACATTCAGACGACACCAAACTATCTTGAGTCGGGCTGTATGTTAATACACCATAAAGCCTCTTGTATTCTTGCAAACGGGAGAAAAGTTCTAAGCATGATGCACATCTGCCATTACCATTCGCCCCCGTGGCAAGGTTCGATGTATAACCACCGCTTCTCTGGAATCAAAAGAGAGAATGAAATATCTTGATCAGATAGATATCAAAGGCAAGCGATAGTACGCCTTTCCCGAACGAAAGCAAAGTAGCTGTGCGCAACTGATTAAGAGCTAATAAATCATCAACAGTTTTTCTGTCAGCAAAAGTAAACAAGATCTGACGCTTATCTGGCTATCAAAGTCCGAACGATCAGGAGTACAGGATCTGTAAGCGTGGCTGATTTGGAAAGCTTCCAAGAAAGAATCAATTTGACACGCGTGTTACAAAATGGAGATCCATCAGCTGGACAAATGAGTACCTGTCAGTGGCAGCTGACTGCAAGCGACCGAAATGATTAATGACTTAGGGGGTTCTTAAAGAAACCAAGGTGGATATTGTGGCGAACATACATGACACATGAAATAGCCGCTTATCACACCGTGATGATAACAATCGCGGGGAAAACAACAGCGGTGGGCAGTCAGATAACTCCAGATCGTTCGCCTTTCGTTGATGAATAGAGATATTTGGTAGCTAAATACAGATAGTGAAGATTCATTCATCCATTTCTGAATGCTTTTCGGTTGGTGTCATTAAATCAAAGACCCAGGGTTTGATCACTTAGATAAATTTTCTTTTATGCCGTTGTACTGTGATGCATATTACTGACCCAAAACCTGAAGGCGGACATCAAAAAGCATGTGTAACAGAACAAAAAGTGTGTTCTACACAAATCCCCTAGATGAACTGTTGCCGTTGAGGTAAGACGATGCGCTTGAATATTATGACAGTATTCCACCTTCCAGTGCGTACGAGAATGATTCAGTGCTCACTTATCTACCTCATATTCGATAATCAAAATGCAAGGAATACGTTTCTTGGGAATATATACACAAATCACTAACCAGCGTCCTTGATTTTAAAAAATGTAGGAGCCATCATGTGAAAATAATAGAGGGATAAGCCTCGTGAAAACTACCTTCGAAATACTCGCAAACGTCATGTTTTGCATATCCAGTGGAGTAATGAGAGCCAACGCAGTGCAAAATAATGTGGATCCCGTCTCGATGAAATCGGACTGAGTATATATGTACGACTCATTACGTGATAGAACAGCGTAACATGCCCGTGCGCCTGCAATTATCGAGCTTCATAACCTGAAGGTGGTATTCCAACTGATCACAAATTTTGTGACCCTATTCATCAATGAAATGCATACAAGAAAACTTCCCCTTCTCAGAAATCGGTGCAATTGGTTCAACGGAGCGGCTTAGTAGCCAACAGGATACTCGCCCCTGGACTATCCACGACATGCTGGGTCCGTCTTTTCTGCTTCAAATCTGATGAAAGAATGATGCCGGTTGGCTATCCTAGTCACTTCCTTTGAGGTGAATGCTCATGCTGGATTGTGTGAATAATGGCTCCCTTTGAGTGGGACAAAGCACCTACTGAGGTTCTGCTGAACAAGAGTACGCAAAGCGCTGCGTTGACAGGGCTCATAAATGCTGGTAGTGCAAGTATGCTAATGGCTTCCATGATTATCGAATAACGATAGGACGCCGTCATCAAGCCATTAACCTAGGTAGTCTATTATCTCGGTTGGTTTAGCCACTGTATAAAACACTAAAAATCAGTAAGGAAAGTGAGTTCCCGAAGCGTCAGCAATCTCTAGAGGTAGGGGAACATCGTTTTGTCTAGCAAAGGAAGGGGGCATAATTGTACGGTTTGACCAGAATTATAGTATGCATTCCCGGTCTCCTAATCAATTAAGAGCAAATCAATGAGAACCAGTAGATTTAGTCGCCATAACTTGTATTACCGTATAACGATAGCAACAATATAATTCAACTAATTCATCATGGCCACTCTCAATCAGCAGGCTTAGGCTAGTCTTGGAAAAGCAACAGATGCCGACGTTTCGACATTCTGGGTCTCGTCAGTGGTGCGCCTCCCAACGAACCCCTGCCGGGTTCCGCCCCCATGACTTCTGGATGCCGGCGGCTAGTGCCACTTCGCCATGAGTGACAGCCGCGGACCTGCGTGATTGACAGTTGTCTATGATATAGCTCGGCCCATCTTCCACTGCCATGCAAGTGACAGTAACAGCTGGAGATCGAGAAGGACCGCAATCATGAAAAGCGTGGTTTAAAACGAAGGAATAATGAATACAACGTATGTGATTGGTGAATAGGACTACAAACGCAGAGAGTAAAGGAATACAAGAGCGCCATCAGTTTCCCAACTAAAGCGTGTCGCAAGAAGTCTCTGGTCGATTCCGTGGGATCACAGTCATGAACATGGTACGTATCAGCCAAACCGAGCTTACAGGTCAGGTTTTCCGTTCCTTTTAGTAGTCATCGGCTGATGCCATCAGGTCTCATACAAGAAGCCACAGTGAACATCGGAGACACGGTTAGCGAAGCGTGGTGACCATAAGTGCTTAGGTTTGAGGGGAACATAGCATAACTACAGATATAGTCAAACGAGTGGTTTTCATTTTCGCAGGTTAGTGCCTGACAGCACACCCGATGGCGCTCTGCGCTGTCGGATTATCGTGAACAATGACGAGGTAAGTCAAGTGGGGTCATTGCTCCTGGGTTATGGAGTAACACAGGACTGAATGAATTAAGCCGAATTGTTCACCAATTCACGAGTAACACAGTTGATGACAGTAATAAACAAATTTTCGAATACCTCAAGATCATCTAGTGCTCAGTAAAACGGCATCAATTGGGGGAAACATGAACGGGAATAACGACGATGAATGCAATTAACCCATTTTCTGTTATGATTTTTAAGGATACTTATTTTATGGTGATATAAGGCATTAACGTAAAATTTACAATACTTGTGATTGAGATCACAGAAAAGATACTAACCCGCATGATCTTGAAATTATTTCGCCCAATCCATGTTGGTCTTAATTCAAGGTCTAAATCATATTTGATGAATGGTTCATAAAAAGGACGCCTGCAGAAAGCGAATTAATAATAGTAAAATTGAACGTTAATATCCGAAACGCGGAGCCTGAATTAACTTTACGTGATGGCTTCAGTTTGAATTGCTCAGGGCACCTTCAGATTCAACCGGACATCACGAACGATATGACAGGTGAATGAAAAATTAGGGTAAGGTGACAGGAATGAAGAAACTACATTGAAACCAATGACACAGCAAGTGTAGTACACAAACCTTGTTGTCAAAACAAAATATGGGTCCACTGTTTGAGTTCCGCGGAACAAATTGTCCTACCTTAGCATGCCCGATGTTACACTCAGCACTAAATCATCTGCCAGTTGAGAGGGCGGAAATTCATTCACTGTCTGTTGTAAGAGTACTCGAAGGAAAGCACATGATGGAGATAACTAGGTTGAACCAAAAGGCGCTTGCTTTCCAGTAACTGAACCGAACGAATGTTGTTGAATGTCAAACCTCGGTAGAAAAGTCTATAAGCATCACAAAGCTCTGACTCCTATGCGGATCTTAGTCACAGAAATGTTCACGCTTGTTGAACCACAAACATAGCTTTCGTACTCTGTCGTGGCTGCAAGTCGCCTATGACACTGATAGTAAGGAAATGGCAGGCAAATCAAGTGGGACCAATGGGACGGCATTTTGCAGACTATAACTACAGCTGTAGCGCGTTCTCTGTGATAAGCCATATGTCCCAAGTTCTGCAACAACTGCTCTAGCAGTTTCCATTAATATATGGAGTATTCAGCGTTCCTCTATCGATAAGGCGGATGGTGGCACCGGAAACTGTGGTGTGTCTGGCAGCCACGTTATTCAAGTGAGACGCGACAACTTAGGGGTGACACAACAGTCCAGGTTAATTGTGATAATTGTCCGACCACCGGTCGAAAGTATTATCTGTATCGCCTCAGAGCAAACGTAAATGATTACAAGTGACGAAATGCTGCGTCCATAGTGTTCGGGTAAAGATTCCGGGATGCTTGAGAGAACATACAGGTGCGTTCAAACCAGAGATATGGGCGGTGTACCAAGTATACCATTCGTGTACATCACGAGTGAAACTCGCACTATTCGAAAGGAGTGCACGATCGGTGGACAGAAGCGGCAGTTGCTGGTGTTTGGTCGTTAGCTGAATTCAAGTACAAGCGCCCAATGTAACTATGAGCCCGATGAAACGAAACCACCCCGAAGTTCCATGATTCCAAAGAAGAAAAACTATGAGCTGAGAGCTGTAAAGTCATTGGGAGTGGCCGATAGCACACCGAGATTGACCAGAATGGTATTTGACCCATGTTTGTCATGGGGTGTGGTGACGGCTGAATATGCCGTACGACCCTAATGGAAAGCAAACGAGTCTGCGAAACGCATGTCAAAGCCAAGTTACTCCGTCCTTAGAAAAGTTGTGGCTAGCTGTCCAGGTAAATGAACGCTGAACAAATATCTGCTGGGAGCAGCAAAAACCTGCGTAAAGAGGTACTTTACTAGTGCCAAATCGTTGCTTGGGTGCATTGAGAAAGGAGTGGTAATTATAATGGAAACAGATTGAGAAGGAACACAGAGGAAAAACTAAGTGAACTACTCGCCGTCCATCTTCGACTGTACGCACCGTTGTATTCTGATCCATAGGGATTTGTTGGTCTAACGTGGCCAAGGTCATCCACAAACACAGGTGAGGTGTGTGCTGCCGGTTCATTTGCACTATTCCTCTCTCCAACTGCTCGCAGCTCTGCCACTATACGCGCATTCGAATCGGATTTACCAGCTCTACCCAGTGATCGACCATACGTGGAATTATCTTCTACGAATAAAGTCTATGACATCAATAACCGTTTACAATTTTCGCAGTGATTAAGCGCAAGCGGATAACTCAACCACACTCAGCCGGCAATTTGATGCAAACGTTTCGTCACCAATCGAGGTGACATCATCAGTGCGTGGTTGAGTGGCATGCAGTTGTGTCGAATAACATAGAGCAGTCTCGGTGAGAGTGCGCTGAGCGTGGTGTGCTTACGTTTTTATACCGCCGTGGTTGGCCGTGGAGCCGAGCA